CTAGCAACATGGCCATTTATTATTGTTATCACTATCAAGTATTATGTGTTGGGTGTGATTGCACAGCTTATATTTTTTGCAAGTGTGACGGGTCTGTTCTCACCAGCATCACCATAAGCTCATGGTGCTGTGGTGTAATTGTGGCCCTGGTGTCAGAGGTGGGAGGGACTTTGCAGCTCTGTGATAATCTGGCAGGCTCACTGCTGTGTGTGTTCTGTTATGTAGTGACCGCCCATGTGATCGTCTTCGCTTCTCCTAAAATTCCACCTGACACAGGTAGGAGCTCATAAAGTACTTATTCGATGGGTGAAAGAAAGAAAGAATGAATAAATGAACCGAGGTTGTCCCACCTCCTCTACTACCCTCGGGTCCTCTCATGACATTTCCTTTCTTTTGCAAAGCTTCTCTAATTTTAGCTAGTCTTTTTTTTTTTTTTTTTTTAATATATGCTATACTAGAGATGAAGCCTAGGGCCACATGCTAGGCAAGTGCTCCAACACTGAGCTACCTCTCAACCCTTTTTATTGTATGTTGAGATACCATCTTGCTAAATTGTTCAGGCTGGCCTCAAATGTGCCATCCTCCTGCCTCAGCCTCCTGTGTAGCTGGGATTACAGGTATGCACCACCGTCCCCGGCTCACAGTTCTTACTATCTGCCAAAATCAAACACACAGAGACACAAATCTTATTGAATATGTGTGAAGTCAGCCTCATACATGTGGGTGGGCCCCTTCCTAAGTCCTGTGATGGTCCAGATAGGACTGAGGACCAGAGAGGCCAGTGACTTACTCGTTCTTGGCTCTGTGATCACCTCTTAGGTGTTCTGATGGGGGAATTTTGTCCAAACCTCAAGTTCCTGGTCCAGGTCCTTTCTTCCCTTAGCCACCGCCTTCTCATTAGTCCTCCTTTCTCTGGAATGGTCCTTGAGAAGGGACGTGGGCATAGTGTTTGAGTCTGGCTCTCTCTCCGACAATGTGTCTTTGTCCCCAAGGTACAGGGGAGTAGAGTATTACTTTTTTTACAGCTAGGGAAACATTAATGAAAAATGAACCATCAGTGAAATTAATTTTAAAGATTTATGCGTTCAGGGTGAGTAACAAGCCCGCGCCTGCTTATTTGACTCCCTCTAGCAGCTCCCCCTTCCCCGCTTTCTATTTTCTTCACATTTTCCTCCTTTCTTGAAGGTACTCGGTTGGTGCACCGAGCAGTTAAATCAATGTACGGTGGGATAGAGACACGATTTGTTAATTACAAATGCTGCAGCGCCACTTCAGAGTTACAAAGAGACGAGCTAGTCTGAGCAGAAAGTCACTGTCAGGGAGATGCTGTTGGGTTTTCTGTGCGCTGTGTGAGAGGATGCCAGTTAATGGAAGGAGACAGACATGTTTCAGCTTCCTGGTGTGCATCCCGTCTTCCCTGCAGGGTCATCTTCCCTCCTGTCCTTCCCTTCTGTCTTCTGCAGGACTGGTGCCTCTGTCTGATAAATGCCAAGTGCAGCAGATCCCCATCCACCCATCAATCCTTCCCTCCCTCCCTCTCTCTACGCACTGTCACTGGCTCCAAGTGTTTTTCTCTTCTAGCCGCTGACCCTAAATCTCACCATCATTTCCAAGTGCTCTTTGATAGAGGAAGTCTCGAGAGTGAGTCCATGAACTTGTGCTGGCTGGCAGCTCCCAGAGCTTGGGAGATCAGCAGTTGAAATTTCCTAGTAAAAAAGGCTACAGGATTTGGGTCTCAGACAGCAGGGCTTTCTCTGGACCTGGCCCCCCACTCACCTCCAGCGTCACTCTTGCATACCCCACTTTCATTCGCCTCCAAAGTGCCGGGTGACAAGGTATAGAGACCAGAGAAAGGGCTACACTCTTTCTCAGCTTCTAGCCTTTACATAACCTTTCTTTAAAAAGCTGTTTTAAAAAAAAGTTTTCTTTTTTTCAGTAGGTATGGGGATATAAATACAGGGGTGGAATTGTCAGGTGATGGGTCTCACCTTGTGTGAAATCAGCAAACCAGCTTCCGAAATACCGCTCGAGACTCCCACCAGCATGGGCTGAGAGTCCAGGGTGTTTCACATTCCCCCCAGCACTTGGCATGGTTCACCTCTAATTCTACCATTCCGCTGTGAGCATAGTCGTCCTCACTCTCTTTTGACTGGCTTGGGGTTATTCCTCTTGCAGGTGGTGGCTCCGAGGTTATTTTCAGGTTATTTGGGAGAGAGAAAGAGAGACATGAGCATCTACTGATGACCAGAGAATCCCCAGGATCCAACCGTCTTCCAAAAGCCCTACCTCTGCAACTTCTGGAAAAATGGCGGAAGAGGTAGGCGATAACAACTCAACCTCTCCAAGATTTGGAATGCAGACACTGGGAAATAACAACCTGAGGAAGGACTTTTCATTCATTTTACTCTTATCTTAACCTAATGCTAAACACATCCTTCTATTCCCCAACGGAATCTTTTGTACCTCTGCTCTCTCCTCATCCTCCTATGGTAAGAGTTTAAGGTTTCAAAGTTTTCCTCCCAGTCTCAAAACCTGTATCTTTAGTTTTCTAACCATAAAGCTTTGTTAATATTTTGGTACTTAATTAACTCTGTACCACTGATGTTGAATTTCTTCCACCATTAGCAGAGATGTCGCTGTTGCATTTCGTACGTATTAGCTATAGGTCGGGTTGTCTTAATGTTTACACCGTGATGGTGGATTTCTTTTCTAGGGTTAGCACATTCACAGTGGGGCTGTGATTCATGCGTCTTGCTGCTGGGTGGCTCTGATTTGAATTTGATCATTCCCACTGGCTTGAACCACTGCTCGTACATGTGTAACCTTAAATCGGACAGCTTGTTTTGCTTCTCAGGGGGACTTTGATGACAGTAATGCCAAGAAGCATTCATCTAGCAGATCACTTATCATCATACTATGGTTTCTTAGGGAAAACATTAAAATGGTATAAAATTATAATATAACTAATTTGTGGTACAGCAATTGTAAATGCATATATACACACCAGGGATGGGGTACTTGTAAGATTTTCATGTTAAAATTTGGTTAATTAATGACTGATAAATTTACCACAAATATAAATAAATATTTCAATTTAATGAAATAAATACATTTGTTGATTATTATAATAATTTAAAAAATTGGTATGAATAGTATTCATATTTATATGTGGGCAGTAATTCAAATTCAAGCAACTAAGTAGATTTATAGACTTTATTAATTTTATTAGTAAAAAGATCGATAAAAGTGATTAGATCCATTTGTACCACTAGTAGTGCAAGCCACCCAATGGGACAGTTGTGCATGTACCACTGGGGATTCAAACTGGTGGGAGTACATTAAGTGTGCTACATAATTGGTTCTTACATTAATGTCCAGTTTGTCTTGATGATAATACTGTTACTGATTTGGTGGATATTAACAGAGATGCATAATTGTCACTATTTCTCTAGAAGCCAACACTTAGATTACCTGTGTGACATTAACAACACTAGAGCACGTTCCTAGAGAACTTGGTTGTTGGGATAACTACAGTTGCCTCCCAAATTAACCACGGTGGTCAGATCTTGGAGCTGTGGCAAGGGCTATAGTTAGCCATGCCCAAAGTACATCACTGAAAGGCAACTAAAAGAGATCTCCTCCACACTAGCAACAAAGTCTTTAGACTATAAGCATCTACCAACTTCAGTACAAATCAAACCAACCAAGCAAACAAAACAACAGAAACAGGAGAAGACAAGGCAACAAAATTTTCCCAAAACTTCCAACTCCCCAAAGCCACTCCAGGGGGCACCTAGAGACAGAATAGTATAAACCACACACTGTAATTAACTGGAAGGATAACAGAGAAGGTTATAAAACAGATCAAAGAGGGCCAGGGATTCAGCTCAGTGTGGTGCTGCTGCCTACCTCATAAGCACAAGGTCCTGAGTTCAATCCCCAGTACAAAACAAAACAAAACAACCCAAAACAGATCAAAGAGATGCTCAGTGGGACCAGAGAAGATAAACTAAAAAAAAAGTTTTGTTTTTTTTTTTATACTGGGGATCAGACTCGGGACCATACACCT